ACAGAATTATTAAAGATTGTTTCATAGGTGGATTGATGTCAAAAATGTTTTAAAAATGTCAAGTGTTGTGTAAAAATTTTAAAAAAATTGGAAGATGTGAATTGAAGTGGTAAAAAAATCTTTAATAATTCTGTAATTTATCCACTTCAACTCTACGCCTTGTAACATTTTAGTTATCGTTATTCTTATCACATATATATGTATATCGACTGAGCAATTATCTAGTGCCACTTAATAACCTTTTTCTGTAATATAAATACGACTGTACAGCTTGAAAATGAAGTCGTTGAAAAGAAATTTCTTCGCTGAACAAAAAAACTGTGTTTTTACTTTTGAATAAATGGGTATTTTTCAAAATAGTTAAACACTGACAACTGAGAAAACTAAAAACTAAATCAACAAAAACTACACTTAAATTGAGAAAATACAAAGTTTTCAGATGTTGACACCCATTATCAACTGAATACCGTGCGTCGGTGGTATAGCGGTTAGGATGCTCGCCGACCATGCACATGGTCCGGGGTTCGATCCCCGGCCACAGACGCACTCCTTCACCTCGCTAAACCAGAAATAATGCTGGTAAAAAGGAAAGGTTGAACATGAGGCTAGCAACCTCATCCTGTAAAAATAAACTGCTACAGAAACTTCAAGCCACTAGCTTGAAGCCCTATGTTCCACCCGGGAACGTGAAGGAAAAAAAAATAATATAATCAACTGAATACCACTCATGGATAAGGAACTAAAAAAAATGACTCATGTTTACTTTTTGGACATATATATATATATATATATATATATATATATATATATATATATATATGCATACGACTTTTATATAGATAGTCATCATAGTATCTGATATTCAATAGTTGTGACTCTTTCTATATTTAACAACTAGCTAACTGCATAGCGCATAAGATTTTGCATACATATTATATCCATTATTAGCAGGTTGATAACTTATGCACTAAATATACGCAAAAAATGAAACAGCTGGAAAGTTCCAAATATATTCGACTTATTTTGTCGACATCACTTTATGCAAATTCCATTAATTAAAATTTATGGGTAAAACAGAGTTCAATACAGAAAATAACATAGCTGAAAGAAGAAAGTGTTAAAATACATCCGAATACACTAGTTTCTTAATTCATACAAATAGGAATATTTCCTTAGAATAGACTAACAGATAGGTATCAGCAGATATTGTTGTCTACTAGACATGCTTCACCAAATTGCCAGTTTTTCTAGCCGGTTGTAATTCCGCAATAAAGAGGGAGGGCTGGGTATAAGGCCAATGAAAGTACACCAGAAAATCAATCCACTCACTGCAGAAACATCAAAACACAGGAAAAATAGTAAAAATATAAGAAGCAAACTCATTCTTCAATCGAATCGGAGAAATGAAGTCACGGTGAAATCCTTCAGAAAGCCACTCAGACAATGTCTTCACTCGGTGAAAGTAAAAATAGGCATAAGGACGTGGGATGTTTGTACAGTTTGCGAAGTTGGGAAGGCTGATCCACCGAGGGAGAGGGCTCTCGAGTGGTTGTGCCACAGGTTGATCCTGCATGCCGTTCTCGTTTCGCAAGAAGCAAGGATGCGTGTGTTTGGTTCTCCTGAAAACCAATACCCAGTCAATGGGTGTACCGTGGTGTGAGTGTGCGTCGGTGGCACAGTGGTTAGGACTCTCGCCGACCGTGCACATGGTCCGGGGTTCGAGCCCACGCCGACGCACACCTGATATCTATGGTTGGCCTGCGAATTTTGGGCTACCGATATCCACGTTGAAAATTCCACACTTGTACCACAAATACGGTGTGGAATCAAGCTGTAACCGTAAAATAAAAAAAAATAAAGAAATGAGAAAATATAGCATGCAACTCCTAAGAATATGCGAGAGTATATGGAATGGATGTGCAATATCAAAACTATTAACTGCACAATCAATAATCTACTCCGGTCACCTGGACAACTACCACGAGCACACCCAGCGAGTGGTTATCATGATTTCACAAACATCAAACATAGCTCCTAATGCAGTGGGAATCAATCATCTTCACCAGGATTATGACGGCTAAATACAACTCAAAAGCAGAGAAGGAAAGTTACAGTTATCCGATGCTACGCTCCTACAAAGAACTCAGAATAAGAGGAAAAGGAAGATTTCCATGGACAAGTACGAACAGTAATGGACAACTTCCCATATGGTGACATCAGAATCCTCATAGGTGATATGAATGCCAACCGAACTGGGAGCGGAAAGTGCAGGAGGAGAACCCATCACGCGTCCAGAACTCATCGCAGACTTCTACATATTCAACGATTTAGTGACTGGACGCACCGTATAGAAGCAGGACGACATACACGAAGCAATATGGATTCCACCCGAAGGAGATACCAAAAACCGGGCATACTTCATCTCAACTCTGTTCAAGGAAGTGGAGTTGTAGTGTGGTGGACACAATGTCGAGAAGGGGAACAGATATGGACTCACCATTATCTGGGGCAAGAAACTTCAAGGTCGAGCTAAAAGCACTCAAAACAACTGCAAACGACAATTCAAGTTAAACACTCAGAAAATGAAGGACAAAACTACAAGGGATGTCTTCCCTGTAGCCATCAGACAAAATTTGGAGACTACGTGACATTGCTAAGGAAACCTGAGTAGCAGAACATTGGAACACTGTGAAACTGACGTTCAAGGAAACCTGTAGTGCCGTTCTAAGAAAAAAGAAGAGGCATGACAAGGAATGGCTCCCTAAGGACACCCACCTGGAAGCTAACAGATGGTGGTGAAATGGAAGATGAACCAATGAAAACATTGACAACAGAAGGACAAGCTGAGTTCAATGTAAAGAGTACTGAATAAAGAAGTATAGAAGAGTGTCAGGAGAGACGAAATACAACTCCACAATACAATGGAAAATGAAACAGAACAGACTAGCTGCAAGCAAAAGAGACCTCAGAATATAATATCAAGTAACTAGGTCTCTATCCGGGATGACATCACCACAGATGAAACCAATAAAAGGTGATCCAGGAAACCCAATTAGCAAAGAGGAGAGACAAAGAAAACAATGAGATGATCACTTCAAAGTCGACTATCACCTGCAACTCGTCCAGAGGTACCACCAACACCAACACCACGCACACAACTGCCTGCCAGTGGACATCAATCCTCCAATATAAACAGGTGTCTTGAATGCAGTCAAGACAGAGAAGTCCAGGAGGACAACAGGATCAGACAGAATTCTTCTTGAAACACTGAAAACGAACTTAGTGTTCGCAGAGGATATGCTCACGCCACTATCGCAAAACGTTTGGAAGGAAGCATAGGTACCCACTGATTAGAAGAGAGGCTACATTGTCATACTACCAAAGAAGTGCGACTTAGACCTCTACAGGAACTGGTGCACAATCATGCTCTTGTCCAAGCTAAATAGCATACTGAGTCGCATTATTCTGGAGAGAAGAAAAACGTGCACTGGATGCAGAACTCCACCAACCGAGACAACCTGCATTCTAGAAATTCAAATCATGTCTTGACCAAATTGCAGCTCTAAACACCATTATCATCGAGCAGAGCATAGAATGGCAGACAAACCTCTCGCTCTCTATCTCAACTTCATCGACTGTGAAATGGTCTTTGACAATGCTGACCACAAAGTAATTTGGAAACTATCTCGACACTATGGCGTGCAGTGCCTAAATCTTTATCAACCTCATTCAACAACTGGCTATATGACAATGCCACTTGTCAAGTGATCCACAACGGAAAAGTCGGAGAGGCGTTTCAAGTGAACACAGGAGTAAGATATAGCTGACTATTAGCACGGATGATATTCTTAATTGTGGCAGACTGGATTATGCAGTACACTGTGTGTGGGGGGGAGGGGAGCGAGAAGACAAGAATACGCTGGACCGCCGACAAGAAGACTCTAGAAGATCTGGATTTCACGCTTGGATGATCTATGTCTAATGTCACACAAACTCGAAAACTTACAGGCGAAAACCGACAAACCAGCAGAAGAAGTAGGCAGTGAGGGAAGGCAGGACATAGGACAAGTGAACAGAGTAGACAAAAGTGATGAAGATAAGCAACCAACCAATCGACAGTAACACCAACAACAACCAGCACTGATCACCATCAACCGGGAAGATTTGACGGTGGTCACTTCCTTCACTTATCTAGGCAGCTAGTATCGTTAAAGCTACAGGTGGGACGGATAAAGATAGGAAAGCCAACCAGAATCGGAAAAGCAAGACAGACTCATTCATCACTCTGAATTCAGTTTGGAAATCTTCTGCACTCACTCAGTATCAGGAACAAACTTCGGATTTTCAATACAAGCGTTAAGTCAGTCAGTCGGCTTTTCTATATGGGTGAGAGACTTGCATTGGGTGTCACGAAAAGCATTTCTAGTCGGTCACTGTAGACATCCACCAACTGCTGCCTTCACTGGGTCCATATTGAAGATAAAATGGCTAACCAGAATGAACTAGCAACGGGGAACTCTGGAAACGAACGAACGAACAAACTAAGCAATCAAGAACCTTTTCCTCAACAAATATGTTGAAGTAAATGCAGGTGGAATGGGGACATGCTGAGGAGATTGTCGAGTGACATCGCACATCAGGCCATCTCTAGAGTGGAATCAATCCGAATACGAAACGATTTAGGTTGTGGTTCATGTGTGACATGGGGGAAATCGTGTGAGGACGAGATGAGAGCTCATGAGCAGTCGTGGCGCCAGCTGAAGAGGACCGCGTAGAATAGGACAAAGTGGAGATGTGCTGTTGAAGCCCTATGTTACACTCGGAATCCAAGGGAATAATAATAATAGACATGCGTCATGATACTTTAATTATCAATAAAGTTACTCTTAACTAATAGGACTTAGCTTCAGATTTCTTGTGTAAGTTATTAATAAAAACGAGAGTGATTAGTAGAAATATTAAATAAAAAAGTTTCAATCATGTAAAATTGATAGACTTACTGAAAAATCAATCATAGTATATGGATTTTCTATTAGTTTCGGTGATAAATTATGTGTTTCGACTAGTTTTTTCACTTGTTCCATCTCTGTTAGTATACCATTCAATTCCTTTTGTGCAGCCGGAAGTGTTTTCTTAAAGTCTTCATGTCCATTTATAAGGCACTGATTAAAAAAGAAAGAAAAGTATTAACATTTAATACGTATTTTTTGATCTGTTGACTGCTATAAATACTGCGTTATACGATATAGTTTCAAATTCTTCAAAAAGCCTTAAAATATCCCCCTGAAATCTGATGAGTCTGTCTGCAGAAGTTACAGACAGATTTGACGTCAAGGAAAGCAAATGATTCCGCATTGCGGAGAAACATGGAAGACGTAAAAGGAACACAAAGAAACACAGTATGAAGGACAGAAGTAGCACAAAACAGAGGATATGTGCAAATGCTGATTTTCATATAAGGTGTACATAACTCCACTATAATATCGATAGCAAATTGTAAATGAACATTCCTTTACCAAAGCTCTTGTGTTCTATCGTTACATTTTTACTTATCAGGTCGACACTGCCATGAACCTGTGTCCTTGACTGCTACTTCTCACTTCCGCAATTCCAGTAAGTGTTAGGGGTGATAAAAAACTGTTATCAGATGTTCAGTGCTTTTCTAAGCTGCCAAACATAACGCAAATGATTAAGAAGAGGATTACAACATGAACTAAAATAATTAAATAACATGTTAACCGTGAATGAGTTTAGGTTTTCAACTAGTTAAAAAAATTTTTTTTCTTTCCTTCACGTTCCCAGTGGAATATAGGGCTTCAAGCTAGTGGCTTGAAGTTTCTGTAGCAGTTTATTTTTACAGGATGGGGTTGCTAGCCTCATGTTCAACCTTTCCTTCTTACCAGCATTATTTCTGGTTTAGCGAGGTGAAGGAGTGCGTCTGTGGCCGGGGATCGAACCCCGGACCATGTGCATGGTCGTTGAGCGTCTTCACCGCTGTGCCACCGACGCACGTCGTTAAAAAAAAATACAAAAGATAATTGAATAAATGAATTGGTGTTAGGAGACGTGCTTTTTTGATTAATTTTATTCTACTCCAGTTTATCTTGGCTTTCATTAAAGTTGTTGTCATCACAGTTTTAATTTTTGACACCACTTAAGCTCACTATTAATTTATCACATTTCACGAAATTACATAAAATGGTGGGAATAATTTTAAATCATAGTTAAGTGATAATACAAAGACCAACAACATGATTATCATTATTTATTGTTGTAACTCAGGTACCAAACTGTTTCAAGTTGTCAAGGTTAACACTGCAATGAAGTGAATTTTAACACATATATTGTTAATAAAATGAATCGATAGTGTGTACAGTATACAAACCAGTATATTATTAAAAATAGATAAATATGTTCAGTTGTTTTAAATCAGCTCGAAAATGAGGCTTTTAAAAAGAAAAAGTATGCAATTCGATGTGCTTGTGGTTAACAAACTAAGGATGAAGACAGAAAACTCAAAGTTACGAAAAACCAGTTAGTTTTCTTACCATTACATCGTCAACTTTATGAACAATGAACATATCTTGTAGATCTTCAGTTGCTTGTTCTAACCAATTATTAAAAGGCTTGAAAAGAGAAAAACAAGCGTGAAACAAAAAAATCGACACAGGCGAATGTTTTATTGACAAAAAGCAATAGAAATTTGCATAAAACTGACAAGATAGAGAATGAGTTAAATTCATTATGTGAAACCCTAATAGAGAACGGATATCCACCAAGATTCAAAAACAAAAATATGAAGGAAAAGCCATCGTAGCCAAAAATCACAACTGTTCCTAAGAAAACTCTCTTCATGAACCTGGAATTCAAAGGTGGCATCGCAGCGGTAATCCTTAGAGACCGCCTTTCTAAATGTCTGAAGAAGACATTTCGAGCAACCACCGTACGTATCACACTCTTCAGCAGTCTAACGTTAAGGATAAGATACCGCTCTTGGCGACTTCAATGTGTATTAATCAGTTTGCCTATTCGTGTGGAGCAAAGTATATCGGCCGTACGCAACGTCAAGTCCATAAACGTATTCTGGAACACTGTCCAACTTGGGTAACCAGAGAAGAACAGAAGAATATCAGCAGCTCCATTCTTGAACACCTTATCAAATCTAGACATCGAGCACCCTCGCGTCAATGCTTCACATAGCCCCTCAATATCGTACAAAGGGACTTCGCATACGTCATCTGTACATAGCTGAATAATTGGCTATTCGGGATCTGAAACCGGATCTCTACATTCAAAAGCACCACATACATTGCTTCGCCCTACTATGAACATAGTAACGTTCTCACCAGTTTTGCTTCCTTTAATTATGTAATTTTACTATTATCACTATTATTCGCATCATCCTTATTTTGTTATCACTCTACTAATGTTTATTAATAACAGAGTTTTCATACAGATTTTACATAAAAACACTTTATAATATTTCCACTAGTTCCTGTCCATTCTATACAATTTTATTTCAGCAATATCTGATTGGTCTTATGAATTCTTTGTTAAACACAATTATTGTTGCACAGCATCTTATGAAAATGAATCGTCGAAAAGAAATTTTCTTCGCTGTTTACGTCTTTTTCTCATGACACAATAACATAGAAGTTAGCATAATAGGTTAAAAGAGCCACAATTGTCCACCGCAAGCTAATAATACATCAGTAGCTGACTTTTTGTATTACACTCGAATAAATATAAGTAAATGACATCACTATAAAAAAATGGTTTCCGATGAACTAAAATAGTGAAAGGTGTTCAATCTCAAACTAGCAGTGGTATTTATAAACAGAAGAATGTATAGTGATACTTTTTAGATGTTAAAAGTCAATTGAAAAGGAGCCTCAAACTTAGATTTTGTTCTTCTTGCCACAAAGTTTGTCTTAAACCTTCAGAAGAATCATATTCCCTTCAAAATATGAATCATCCAGTAGTGAATTCATGAAATTAACTATCAAACTTCTAAGCTTCCAACGGATATTATGCATAAATGACTCAACGCGAATTGTTAACTGGCTGATAACTACTGTAGTTGTCTGTGGTCTTGTGTCATACGAAATCAGTTGACCAAATGTGATGTGCAATGGTATAACTCCAACTGAATGTCTACCAGGTATTTACTAGTTTACCTTACAATCTTCCGAATTTGTGCAGTGTTTCCTCTTGACAAACTTATTTTCTATAAATCAATATGAAATTTATTATCTAAATATAGCTGACAATATTGGAATGTAATCACTTTGGGGGAAAAAAAGAAAGGCAGGAGGAATTTATTATTATAATCTGAAATCAATATGATATCTAACATATCATTCATAAGAAGATGTATGCAAAGATATTTACATAAATAACAGAAGAAAGCAGAACGGAAGCTATCAAAAATACCAGGAAAACACCATCGATTTGACAGTAAATTTATTTTATGCATTCATATTAGTGAATTTTATTAAGATGCTTTTAAGGAGGAAAAATTAATGTATATAAATCTAGAAATTAGAACGAGCATGTATATTTATGGATAAAACCAGTTCAATTTCAGGGGTTTATGCAAAGTACGTTTGTTTTTTTAATGTAAAAAGCAAAACGATTTTCATTGAATTCACTACTAAACACACAATCCAAATCCGAATGTTATAAATTTATTGTGGTTTCCAGTGAAAGCTGATACAACTGAAATGCATACTTAGGAACAAGAAGGAATCCATGAAAGTCTACCCTTTTGAAGGTAATTCACCAGTAAAAAATTCACACCTTAAAGACAAAATATGAGACAACCAACAAAGACAGAAATCGAAACTGATACTATAGTGCTGCGTACATTACAAAAATCATGGGACTGAATAAGTCCACGTAAATCTCGTTCACGCCCGAAGCTAAACTCAACAGTTTGACATTTATACGGGATCAGTTTGGGACCGTTTGAATAAGACTACCGCTTAACCTCAGATAGGAAGCCCTCAAAACAGAATAATAATAATCCAGAAGCGACTGGGAAAGAAGTTGCCACATTATCAGCATATTTAATGAAGTTAGCTTTAGAAGAATACGGTATGTCGGGCAGAAAGAAAAAATTAAGAAGGTACATCACCTTGAGGCACACCAGCCTTAGTAGACGAAAAAGTGGAGCGCTTCTCTAGGAAGACAGGTGTGATATTACTTATAATAGCCACTAAATGAAATGTTTTTAACCCAACCATAAAAGCTTAAGAGTGGATGAAATTATTCCCTATACAAAATGATTTGCTAACTTATTGCTTTGTTATGTCTTTTAGTATAGCTAAAGGAAAGTAAACGCTTAACTTATGTTTTGTCATCTATTTTTGCTTACTAAATGAAAAGTGTATGATATGATAATCCTTTTCGACAAAATGAAGAATTTCATGTTGCAAACACACAGTTTGGCACAACCCTCCACCGCTTAGAGTTTTATAACACTGTAGACCTTCATTTGAAATTAAGTCATTATTCTGGTGTATAATATACATATCGGTCTATCAGTTTCTAGCTATCACCAATATTTTCAACAAAAACTGTAATTAGGATCTAATTGATGCTTATCCGGAATGTCATGGAAAAATTTATTTTAAAATGATGAGTCATTCGAATAGTGCATTCACTATCAGTCATTTGCTGAACCACTAAAATCCGATCTCACATCACTACTTTATTTTTGTCTACATGTAAAATTATTTTAACTTCTGATCTGTGGATTGTAGAAATTTGATTAACTTTGAGACAGATTAAGCTAAAAACTAACACTAGTCCGAAAACCAGAGAAAACAAAGAGATTATTGAAAATTCACTATGCTCCAGTTTGAAACTCTTCAGAAATGCCTACCTACAATTCCACTGAGGACCAACGGAAAACACTAAGTTGCAGGACTAGCACCTTACGACTTTTGACTTTAAGCACCTCGCATTATAGCCCCATAGTCGTCTAAATCATTAACTATTATTTTTACAGTTATTAGAGCATAGTATAGTCATGTTAAACTTCGCATTATTCAGTCAGTTTGTTTTTGTAATTATTAGCACATTTAGATGGTACTATAAAAAGAAACTACACAAATAAGTTTAATTTTAAGACAGTGAACTTATCTGTTCGATTCCGCCCATGTCCCAAATAATACTATCGTTACTCACATAGGTGATAAAAACTGACTGGCTGAATGACTGGTTTCAGCATGGAACTCTGCACAGTTGTGCAGCATTTCGAGTCGCCACAGTTCACGTAGTACACAAAGCAAGAGAAGAAAGTTAAAAGAAATGCAAAACTGAGACAGTAAACAGAGATATAAGGCAAAAAGAATAGTAATATCAAAGAACCATGTAGTATCATTGGATATTAGAAGTCACAAGAAGTGGATGCATCTGCGCCATTGAGAACAATGAGATTGAGCCATATCACCAATTGTCTTCAGCCTCCAATCGTTTTTACCGTCCTGAAGACCCCAACCAGGAAGCCATTCTACACCTCCCTACGTGATTGGCTGGCTTAAACTAAATGTTGTGGATTTCATTGACTGATGAGGCCATGCCTTGCTTTGATCACCACTAGCCAAGGTGATCCCATGTCAACCAACATTGTCCGTCGAGGAAGGTGATGGCTAGGCTAGGCATGCGTAACATATGTCCTAACCATCTCAATCGGTGTAACTTCACAGACCCGTCTATTGATTTCCCCTCCCAACTACCTAGCACTTGGCAGATGCCTGACCTCAATATTGCTCATCCTATTATACCATTTCACACGGGAGATAGAAAACAGACACTTATGATGACAGCTAGCCACCCTTTTCATGTCTTCCACTTTTACTGTCCAGCATGTCTCAGAGACTATGGGAACAGAAGAGGTGGGGATTTCAAATTATACAACAATACAAAAGTACGCGATACGTGCATTAGAACACATACGGAACATCATACAACCGGTTCCCTTTATTAGTATGACCAAAGAAATTATGAGCACATTTGCAGGATAGTACGAGCTAGTTTAATATCGTGGATCCTCTTTATCAACTGCGTATATCCTAAACAAAAAAACAAATTTTAAGTTACATATTTGCTGAACATACTTTTTTCACAGTGACTTCGAATTGTAGATAGAAGGTATAAGCAAGATAATTCTAAAAATGATGTAAGTAGATAAATTATCCAGTGTTAAAAGATTAATTATTCATACTATAATTAGACAAAGAAGGTTGAGTTCACATTTAGCTTGGAAACAAGGATTGATTATAAATAAAAAATACAAGATCGGACAACAGAGTGAATTTCTACATATAATGATGGAGAGTTAAAGAGGGTGGGAGTGATTAGTAAAGTAAAATTATGACACACAAACAATAAAGTAAATTTGTTAACTTAATAGTGAGTTCAACTCAGGAAAAGTGAAATGTTACCGAACAGAACAAAACACAAAAGCATACGGACAAAACAATTACAGTCGCCAGGGTGGTGACAGATTACTTACGCTATCTTTCTGTGTACAGAGGTTGGGCCGAAGTCTTTTCATAACGTAGGCTTCTGCGAACCGAATTAACCACGCTTTTCTTTGTGCATTAATTATTTCGAAAAT